CTTGATAAGAATGGTGTAGGTTGTGGTTTTGGTTCTAGACGCTCTTACCCTTTTGTAGTGGTTTGAATGAGAATAACTACCATGAGATATTTTTTTTAATTGCCATCAGTTGTTGTGTTTATTTGTTCTTATTGTGTGTGTAGAGGCCAAAGGACAACTTTGTGGCAGTAGTTCTCCCCTTCCACATTTATTCCAGACAGCAAACTCAGGTTGTCAGACTTGCAAAGCAAGTGCTGTATCATGGAGCCAGCGAGCTGGCCCAGTCCTTACCACAACCCTCAAGTACTTGTCTGTTCTCATGGGCATGAGCTTCTTCAAAGGCACCAACTTCAAACAGTTTCTCTGTAGCTTTGTTTTTCTGGATTTTGTAAGCTGAGGTCTAACACAAAAATCTTATTCTTCTTTTCCATTTCTATCTTTTTTCTTGGTCTACTTCTTGATAATTTTCTGATTTGATCTGCTGTGTTATCTGATATAGTTTCTTTAAATGTTTTATTACAGTTTAATTTACTCTGTGTGTGTGCATTAGTGTGTGTACCACAACACGCATGTGGACATCAGAGAAGTTTGTGGGAGTAGGTCCTTTCCGGATCAACCTCAGGGTGTCAGACTTGGCAGTGAGTGTCTACCGGCTGAGCCATCTTGCCAGCCCAGGTACACTCCTTTTCCCCAAATACTTTGGTTATCAAGAGACCACAGTGTAGAGTGACAGCCTCTGAGAGCCATGCTGGGGTCTCCCCATGTCGTTTCCCCAGCCCCGGTCTTGTCTGCATTCTCCTTCCAGTCAAGAACCCCATTGAGGCTAGTGTGCTGCTGGCAGAAGCCTCGCTGGCACGGAAGCAGCGGAAAACACATACTACCTTTATCCCACTGATGCTGAATGAGATGCCACAGCTTGGGGACCTGGTGGGCCTTGATGCTGAGTTTGTCACTCTTAATGAGGTAACCAAAGCCAAAAGGATGGCACATAGGAACAGAACTCTGAGGATATTAGAAATTGTAAGTACTGCTCTGCTGTCCATATTAACTCTTGTGATGTAGGAAGAAGCAGAGTTACGCAGTGACGGGACCAAGTCCACCATTAAACCAAGCCAAATGTCAGTAGCAAGGATCACCTGTGTGCGGGGCCAAGGGCCTAATGAGGGCATCCCCTTCATTGATGACTACATCTCTACTCAAGAGCAGGTATGAGGGTGGGAGGGTACACAGCATTCAACCCTATCCTTGCGCAGGAAGACACCAGCCTTTTTACGTACAGCAATTTTTCTTTCTCTCTGTTCCTAGGTAGTAGATTACTTGACTCAATACTCGGGGATAAAGCCAGGAGACCTTGATGCCAAAATCTCCTCCAAGCACCTCACTACCCTCAAGTCTACCTACTTAAAACTTCGTTTCCTCATTGACATTGGAGTCAAATTTGTGGGTCATGGTCTGCAGAAGGACTTCCGGGTTATCAACCTCATGGTTAGGGCAGGCTTTTTAGGAGTGTGTTTACTGTTGTTGTTGTCTTTGTTTCTTGTCTGGGATTTGTTTGGTTTTGTTTGTTTTGATACAGGGTCTCACTGTGTAGTTCTGGCTGCCCTATAACTAGTTATGTTGAGCAGGCTGGTCTTGAACTCACAGAGGTCCACATGCCTCTTCCTGAGTTTTAGGATTAAAAGTGTACACTACCATGCCTATCACTACCCCGCCCCCATACAGCCTTCTTCCCACCCAGCCTGCTCCTACAACCCTCACTCATCAAAAACAAAATTACGTTTATTTAGTGTGTGTGTACAATCCTATGTACCTCCTGCGAGTACCATGTGTCTAGCTCAAAGGGAACTTGTAGAAGTTGAGTCTCTCCTGCCATCACACTGATCCTGGGGATTGAACTCAGGTTGTTAGGCTTGGTGGCAAATACCTTTACCTGCTGAGCCACCTTGCTGGCCTAGAGTTATTTTTGAGGATAGACTTCTCAGGGTGTATGTTTGAATTTGGAGAGTGGGAGGTGATGGATCTTCTGCCTCAAGGCTTCTGTTGTTTTGATTTCTGCCAGGTGCCCAAGGACCAAGTTCTTGACACAGTCTATCTGTTCCACATGCCCCGAAAACGAATGATTTCCCTACGATTTCTTGCTTGGTACTTTCTAGGTGAGCTGCTCTGCCTTGTGTGCCCTGTAGTACTGATTACTTAAGAGGAGGAAACGTTAGGGGACAGGAGATATGGCACAGTTGGTGGAGTACTTGTTCAGACCCCAGTACCACATGAAACTGGACATAACGGTGCATGCCTATTTCTAGCCAGTACTCAGGAGGTACACACAGAAGAAACACAAGATTAAGATTAGTCTCAACTACATAATGTGTTCAAAGCCAGCCTGGGCTACATAAAAAGAGAGTAGAAAGCACAGGAGGCTGATGCTTTCAGCTCTACGAGCCTGAACAATAAAGATACTGTCTTAACCACAGAACTACAACAGAGCCTGGTGCGTTCCACACAGTTTAGGAGGCAGAGACAGGCAGATCTCTGAGTTTGAGGACAGCCAGGGCTACACAGAGAAACCCTGTCTTGAAAACACAAACAAACAAAAAACCCTACAACAAAAATAGAATAGGAAACATCTTTGGGGAAAAAAATCTAGTGATTTATCAACTTAGAATAATGAAATCTGATAATGATTTCAGTTAGCTACTGTCACTAACTTAAGAAGCTTTTGGGGCTTGAGAGGTAGCTCAGTGGTTACAAGCACTTGTTGCTCTTGCAGAGACCCCGGTTCTCATCCCAGTACTTCTGTCGTGGCTCACACCATCTATAACTTCAGTTCCAGACAATCTGACACCCTCTTCTGACTTTCATGGTCACCATGCACACCCATAGAGTACATAATACAGGCAAAACATTAAATACACATAAAATAAGAAAAGATGTTTTCTGGGAGACTGGGAGTCTGCATGGAAGTTTTCTGGGGGGTCAGGATAGAAATAGGGTACCTTCTTTGTGAGGTCCTTAAGTATTGTGTTTACCCCAGACCTTAAGATTCAAAGTGAGACCCATGACAGTATTGAGGATGCCCGCACAGCCCTGCAACTCTACCGGAAGTATCTGGAGCTAAGCAAGAATGGTACTGAGCCTGAGTCCTTCCACAAAGTTCTCAAGGGTCTTTATGAGAAGGGCCGGAAGATGGACTGGAAGGTGCCTGAGCCTGAGAGCCAGACAAGTCCCAAAAGTAAGGCTGGGCTGAGACAAGGGACCTGGGTTGGCTGGGTTTGATGGCATATATTGAGACTGTACAACACCATCGTAATGCTTGTAACAGTACTGCTCCTAACTTCTCCTCATGAAGCAGCCAACAGTTTATAAATCACCCAGTCTTTCTAACAGTCTTTCTAAAAGTCTAAAGAGGTAGACTTTTTTTTTTTTTTTTAATTATCCATGGGTCTAAAGTCACTTGCCCAATTCTAAAATGTCCGAGGAAGGTCCATGTCATGCCCTCCCTTCTCTCACATTCTTTCTTTATAGGAAGTGTCCCTGATGCCTTCTGTGTTCACCCTTTGTTTCACCAATTTTTGTCTCTTAACAGATGCAGCTGTCTTCTCCTCAGTGCTGGCACTTTGACCTTTGACCTGCCCCTTCCTTTCAGTGTTCTGTCTCCAGAACTAAGAGATGGCTTCTCAAGTTGGCTTTACCCTGTCCACTTCCAGAACTGGATCTGCTCAGGGTCTACAGATGGTGCTATTAATAGAACTGGAAAGCAGCAAAATTGTTGCAAAGGTTCTAGAAGCCAGATTCTCCCTTTATCCTCTGCAAACAGTGGGCCAGAAACAAAGCCTAAGCTGACCCAGGTGGAAAGTGATTGGCATTCTTAATAAATGTCCTGGGTGATTATATCTAAACAAAAGAGCTCCTACAATCAGAATTCTCAGTTCCCAGCCAGCTAGAGAATTGCCGTCCTGGACAGTGACAGGGTACAAGAGATCCAGACAGCTCAAGCATCCAACTGCTTGAGAGATGTGGCTGGATGGACCAGCATGCCCAGTCTCAATGGGTCAATCAAACCAGTGTGGAGGCGGCTGAGCTGCCCGCTCCATTCCTGCCCACAGCTGAGCAGTATCTGTCTTCCATACATTCTATCTTGAGTTTTGTTTTATTTTTAGAAAAAAAAAAAAAATTGCTTAAAACAGCATGTTTTATAAAATAAAAATATTTTTATCTCATTAGAAAACTGCTAGTAGTGGGGTTCTTTGACTTCTGGCCTCCTTTAACTTCACCAAACAATGAAAAAGTTGAAATTGTGTTCAGATCCACACCTAAGAATTAAGGTAAGATTCTGGGTTCCCAAAGTGAGTGGATCCAGGAGGAATAAAATTGTTTTTCACCTGGGCAGCGTTCAGCCTTTGCTATAGTTGCCTCGCACCCCCATAACTCCCAGTTTAACTTACAACCAGGCACGCTGTGACCTAGCAGTTGAGAAGCCGAGAACCGCTGTTCCCAACCAGCCTGGGATGGGGAGCAATACCTCACTCAGAATAGTACTAGTGACATGCTGGGAATTCAGAGCGGATTGTCCTATGCACAGCCTGAGAGCTAATATTAAACAACATAGCGCCTCCCTCCCATCCTCAGAGGATAGCTTCCAGAAATCTCCAGGAACCTTCCTGAAAAAGCAGATAATACCAAAAATTTCCCAATACATACCTATTGGTTATAATTTAGTACAAGAAGAAACTAACAGCTAGTTAAAAAAAAAAAGACCTGTAGCTTCTAGCAAAGATTGGTGCCGCAGTGCTTCCTGGGAAATGTAGTTTGCAGTAATGAAAGCTTTGTATATTGAAGCTGGTTTCTCTTCCACTAATCGCATCTGTTCGGAAGTCCTAGCCCACCTGGACTGACACATTATCCCTATGCTCCACTTGGTCCTCAGCCTAGGCAACCTTTGTTCTTGCGGTGGTCACGTGAACCTGCCCGCCACGCAAGTCTGGGTCCTTAAGCTTTCCAAGGGGTCCTCGCTGCTTCCCTCCCAGGCTCTCCTGAGGGTGCCTGTTCGCGCGAGAGTTTGAAGGGGCGTGCTCAGGGGCAGTCTCCAGTGGGGGCTCCCAGGGCACCGCAGGTTCCCGCTCCGGTGCCCAGTTACGTGCCCACAGCTGGACCAGGCGCTCCCTGGCCACCCTGAACCTGGCGGTTGCAGGCGCGATCTGGAGAAGCCGGGACAGCCTCGCTCTTCCCAGCCAGCTGCTGCAGCCAACAAAGTGAGAGTCCTGCTGCTTTCCAGTGCCTGGGCCAGGACGCCGGCCGCGGGAGCAGAGGTGGGCAGAAGTTAGCTCCATGTGCGGGAGCACTGAGGTTGGGAATGGACGCGAGCGTCAGCAATGGCGGAGTCCTTAGGAAAGAGAAACATCTACATCTGGAGATAGGGATTCTGGAACACTTGCTGCTAGGTCCACGTAGGCCCTTAGCTATGGAGTGTTCTCGCTGGCCTCGTGGCCTGACTGATAATGGTTCCTTGCTGGCAGCCCGTTTCTGCCCGTCACCCTGGCATAACTGATCAGCTGCATCCCATAGCTACTGGGTAGTACTGTGAGCCCTTAGTGTCTAATGCTACAGTATCAATAGCCAGGCCCTCACCTGTGGAGGACACAGTTTCTGGAACTGAGTCCAGTCCTGAGCTCTCACTTCCTATCCTACACTGCCACCACCCCGCCCCGCGCGGGGTGCTTGCGCTGCCGGGAACTCCAGTCTCTCCGGTGTTTATATCATGGCCTTTTCCTGGATAATAGAATCAGAATCACACCGAGTCCTATGGGATGAAGGGTGGCAGTCGAGGGTGGGGGGGTGGGGAAAATAGCTCGGTCTCCTCTCGCCTGTGTTTTATTTTCACACAAATCCAGGTGGAGCGACCCCATTACGCTAAAGATGAAAGGCTGGGGTTGGCTGGCTCTATTTTTGGGGATCCTGCTGGGAACGGCCTGGGCTCGAAGGAGCCAGGATCTACACTGTGGAGGTAAAGGCACAAAGACAAGAAGTGGGAGGAAGCCAACACTTGGGAGGCATAAGACCCAAAGATCCTTGGAACAAGGATGGGTAGAAATCCTTGGTTAATGCCATTCTCCTCACCATCCCACCCCAATTCTCTTCCCTGGCACCAGCTTGCAGGGCTCTGGTGGATGAATTAGAGTGGGAAATTGCCCAGGTGGACCCCAAGAAGACCATTCAGATGGGATCCTTCCGTATCAATCCAGATGGCAGCCAGTCCGTTGTGGAGGTAACACACTATCCCCCAAATAGAGTAGCTCACCCAGGCTTTGAATGTGAACTTGGTTTAGGTCAGAAGAGAAGAAAGCAGGATGTCATAGGACCTGAAATAATAATAATACTCCCAACACTCAGAGGCTGAAGCAGAAGTATTTCTCTGAGTTCCAGGCCAGCCTAGACCACAGAATTAGATACTGTTTTAAAAAAGAGATAAAATGAAAAAACCAATGGAATGTTGTGTATCTGAAGAACTGAGCTCTAAGCCAGGTATGGAACTGTAATCCTAGTGCTGGGAGGTAGAAACACTGGTCAGGAGTTCAAGGCCAGCCTGTACTACTTGAGACCCTGCCTCACAAACAGAAACAATAGTTGGGCTCTGCCTTGTTTTAGAAGAGCCTGGAAAGTTAAAACTTAATTATTTTGTGCCTCCAAACCTTAGTTCATTGTTTCCACTGTAGAATTTAGCAGTCAAAAGACCTTTATTAGTCCTTTGTCCACATCCCTAATTCTCGTTTCAATGTAGCAGTAAAGTATACATACATTCTTCTAAAAACAGAATAAGAGGTCTCTTCCAGCTGGAAATGTTGCTCAGTTGATAGAGTACTAGCCTAATGGTAACATTTTGCTGGTGCACCTGTAATCCCTGTATTATTCAGAGTCTTCCTTGGAGCTAGAGAGATGGTTCAATGGCTAGACGCATGTGCTGCTGTTGGAGAAGACTTGGTTCAGAAACTAGCACCACTTGGTGGCTCATAATTCATCCTGGGGAATCTGACATCCTCTTCTAATGTCTGTGAGCACCAACCATACAAATATGAAAGCAAACACTCATACATAAAATAAAAATAAATTTTTAAAAATCTTTGTATTCGCGGATGGAGAGATAGCTCAGTGGTTAAAAGCACTGTCTGCTCTAACAAAGGACCTGGGTTCAATTCTCAGCACCTGCATGGCAGCTTACAACAGTCTATAACTCCTGTTCCAGGGGACCCAACCCTCTTACACATGCAGACAAAACACCAATGTACAAAAAAAAATTTTTTAATCCCCCCCCCAAAATCTTTGTATTCAAGAAATTTATATTAGTTGGAAACATAAAACGTACATATACACAGCTATACCTAGGAAGTAATGTACAATGATCTTTTTTTAAAATTTTATGTTCATTGGTGTTTGTTTTGCCTGCATGCATGTCTGTCTAAGGGTTCCAGATCGTCTAAAACTGGAGTTACAGACAGTTGTAAATTGCCATATGGGTGCTGGGATTGAGTCCAGTCCTCTGGAAGAGCAGCTACTGCTCTTAAGTGCTGAGCCATCTCTCCAGCCTCTATGAGGGAACATTCTTGTGAAGTGCTCTATCTGCATTTAGACCATCACGCCAGAAGAGGGCATCAGATCTCAGTACGGATGGTTGGGAGCCACCATGTGGTTGCTGGGAGTTAAACTCAGGACCTCTGGAAGAGCAGCCAGTGCTCTTAACTGCTGAGCCATCTCTCCAGCCCCCGTTTTTGTTTTTGGTTTGTTTTTCAGATCAGATCTCAACTGGAACTCACTATGTAAACCAGGCTGCCTTGAATTCACAGAGATCCACCTGCTTCTGTTTCCCTGTGTGCTAGAATTACAGGCTTGTGCCACCATGCTCTGCTCTTTAATGTTATTTTAATAAATAATAAATACCTATGGCCACAAGAAATAAGGACGTTCACAGGGAAAAAGTGTATAGTTGATTATATTTAATTAAAGTGCTTTCTGTCTATAATTTAGAGCTAATGATGCCTGTCTAATTTCTTGGGGTTTTATAATCAGACAAAATAAGATTGTACATATGCTCAGAGTGGTAGCATACTCCTTTACTCCCAGCACTTGGGAGGCAGAGGCAGGTGGAAGTTCAAGGCCAGCCTGGTGTACATAGTTACAGGCCAGCCAAGGCTACAGGGTGAGACCCTGATCCAAATGACAAGCAAAATATGTATATTTGAAAACAGTTTTAGAGGAAGAAAGGATGGACAGACATTGAAACTATAACAGCCCATTATTAGAGAAGAACATTTTTTTTTTAGAATAAGTTTTTTGAGCTAGATTTAAAAATTAAGGGTGGCAAATTACTAATGTATAAGATAGAAGGGAGTAACCGAAGGCTGAGTACATTTCTAGGTACCTTATGCCCGCTCAGAGGCCCACCTCACAGAGTTGCTCGAGGAAGTGTGTGATCGAATGAAGGAGTATGGAGAACAGATTGACCCTTCTACCCACCGCAAGAACTATGTACGTGTTGTGAGCCGGAATGGAGAAACCAGTGAGCTAGACTTACAGGGCATCCGAATTGATGCAGACATCAGTGGCACCCTCAAGTTTGTGGTGAGTTTTGACTGTGAGTACCTGGCTCTTGGAAATTAATAGGGATTGTTGGGCACAGATTGAGAGTTAGGAGTCAGATATGGTGTTGCATGCAGAGGTAGGAAGATGACACAAGTTTGAGCTTAGCCTGGTCCACATAGTTCCAGGCCAGCTAGGGCTATATTTATCAAGACCATGTCTACAGAAATCCCCCCTCCCAAAAAAAACAAGTATAGAACTGAGTGGTTGTCTCCGCCTTCTCGGGAGGTGTCTGGAAGAGTCCCGTGTCAGCTCTCTCTCTTGGTTGACAGTGTGAGAGCATTGTGGAGGAATACGAGGACGAACTTATTGAATTCTTTTCAAGAGAGGCTGACAATGTTAAAGACAAACTTTGCAGTAAGAGAACGGGTAAGCTATTCCCACTTTACTTCCTTTGCTCTCAGCTATGTGTAATCTGGCTTGCTGCCCTGTCCCTCACCACACAAGAATGTGCGCCTGCACTCTCAGACCTCCGTAGATGGCTTCCATTTCCTTTCGTTTAGAAATTAGAGTGATTTCTCTCCAGTCTTCTCTACCTATCAGCTTTCAGAATTTGTGTCTCCATTACCTTAAGTACAGGAGAGAGAGCACACAGAGGGGATGGTTTGGCATTTATAAGCGTATTCTTAAAAATGAATTGAAGTGGGCTGGAGAAATGGCTCAGAGGTTAAGAGTACTCACTGTTCTTCCAAAGGTCCTGAGTTCAAGTCCCAGTAACAACTTGGTGGCGTATAACCATCTATAGTAAGATCTGGTGTGCAGGAAGAATGTATAAACAATAAATATTTTTTTAAAAATGAATTGAAGAATGGTGGTTGGTGTCGGTTTGGCTTGGAGTATTTTCTTGAAAGGGGTGTGTGTGCATGTGCGCGTGGCATTTCCTTCAAACTTTTGTGTTCTGTTTGCAGATCTATGTGACCATGCCCTTCACAGATCTCATGATGAGCTATGAGTCACTGGAGCAAGCAGCCTAGACCAACTTGATGGAACACCTTCAGGAGGGGAAGATGGTGGCATTGTCTTTTATATTATGTTTTTATGGAAATGAACTGAAAAAAGTCTGAAACTAAAAGTACAAACTGTGTTGTCTTTTTATGCCCAAGTGTAGCCTTTCCTTAAAGGTAGGAGATTACGGACAGTAAAAACAATGGGGAGGTAGAGTTTTGAGGACTGGCATAGCATAAAGTTAGGAGGGCCTGACCCATTAATTCTCTTATTCTGTGGCCTGTCCAACTTATAGACTATAGATAAGCATTTATTCAGTATGTCCTTAATACAATGTGTTGGTAACTGGCATTGTGAGGTAAAGAGGAACAGTTGTGTGAGAAGGGGAATAGAAGTGACAAGCGTAAGATTTCAGGAAGCCCCTGTATTCATGCTGATTAAAGATGGGAATTGGTCTAGAATAGAGATGAAGTATTCCCTCTCTACCCTTCCAGATGGAAGGACCAGCCAGAGCAGAGACAGGAAGGGGAAAATGGATGTGACCAACTCAGCTGAAAAGTAGGGGCTTTATCAGATAGGGACAGATGAGGTAAGAAGTGTCACATAATGAAGGGCCTTGCTTGCTAGCCCTGTTTTGGGTTTGATGCAAACAGCAGCAATAAAGAGTATCTTTCTTTAGCTTGGGATACAGCTCCGTGCTAAAATAATTGTATAGCATGTAAACAGCCCTGGATTTGATCCACTGTTCAAAAAACAAACTATGCCACGTATGGTAGGATTGAGCACCTGGGAGGCTGAGGCAGGAAGATTACAAGTTTGAAGCCTGCCTTGGCAACATAATGAGACTGTCTCAAAAACACTTCCACCATTTAGCTGGGCAGATAGCTCAGTGGTTAAGAACACTGGCTGTTCTTAACAGTGTTCTCAGTGGTTAAGAACACCTCTTTCAGAGGTCACAGGTTTCTAGCAACCACATGGTGGCTCATAACCATCTAAAATGAGATTCTGGTATGTAGTAATACATGCAGGCAGAATAATATATACATAATAAATAGGTAAACCTTTAAAAAAAAAAAAAAGAGCCCTTGGTCAGGGCATGACATGACAGTACATACTTGGGATGCTACAGTTGAGAAGATTGCAGGTTTGAAGCCAGCCTGAACCAAGTCAGTGAGGCCTTGTCTCAAAAGCAAAAGAACTTGAAATTCATGTAATTTACCTCTGCCCATTTTACAGGTGAAGAAAATGACATCCTGAGAGGCCACAAATCCGAAAGTCTGAATTTAGTAGTGAAACTGGTTCTGTAATTTTAATTGGAGGGGGGTTGTTTTGTTTTGTTTGAGACAGTGTTTCTCTGTGTAGCCCTGGCTGTCCTGGACTCACTCTGTAGACCAGGCTGGCATTGAACTCACAGAGATCCGCCTGCCTCTGTCTCCCAGAGTGCTGGGATTACAGGCATGTGCCACTGCACCCAGTTTGGATATATAATTTTCTCATCAATCTGATCTAAAGTAGCTACAAAGTAGCTTTATTTTAAGATTGACTTTTATTTATTTGAGCTGGGTCTTACCAGTAGCCCTGACATTTGCCAGAAGACTTGGCCAGAGCATTTTTTACCCCCAGATTTATATGGGGTTGTCTGCATATATATTTGTGTACCAGGTGACTGCCTGGTACCTGTGGAGGCGGATCTTTGTGAGTTCAAGGACAGCCTGGTCTACAAAGTGAGTTCCAAGACAGCCAAGGCAACACAGAGAAACCCTGTCTCAAAGGAAAAAAAAAAAAGGCAGAAACAAAGTCCTTTATTATTAATTTTGTTGAGGCAAGGTCTTGCTGTACACTGAGGCTGATCTGGCACTCCCTATGTATCCCAGGCCTTTCCTAAAACCTGATATCCTGTTTCAGCCTTCCAAGTTCTGGAATTACAATTAGGTAACTAGGTACTACCATGTTGGATGGGGGTGAATAGCATGAGGCAGGAAACATACATTGAATGTCCAATCACAGCATATTTTCTTAAATCTGTGTGTATGAGAGAAAGAGTTTGTGTCAGAGGGGAAACAAATGGGGTGTGTGTGTGAGAGTGAGAAGGGGAGACTGAGTGACTGAGTGTGTGAGAAAGGGAGAGAGGAAACAAGTGTGTGTGGCTGCGTAGTGCTGTCCTGGATCCTATGTGGCCCAGACTGTGTTTAGTTCTAGGACTTCCTGTCTCCGCTTCCTAGATGATGAGGTCCCAGTAGATGCCACCGTGACCAGCATACTTTGATCTGGACTTTGCAACTCTGATTTTGTAAAAAGATATATATGTACTATCATTCATGTGTGTGCCCGGGTGTGCACAAGTTTGTGCAGGGGTCTACAGAGGGCAGGTCCTCCTGGACTCAGAGGTGCCTGCACTCACAACTCACAGGTTGTGAGCTGCCTGCTGTAATGCTGGAACTTGAACTTGGGTCCTCTGGAAGAGCTGAGTCATCTTCTCCACCCCTGATTTAATTTATTTCTATGTTTGTTTCACTGTATGGCCCATGCATCCCTGGTCTCTGTGACCTTGAATTTATCAAGATCTGTCTGCCTCTGCTCTCTGAGTGCTGGAATTTAAGGTGCGTGCCACTATGCCTGGCAAAGATACATACAGTTCTTCAAATTTATATGCATTTTTGAGTGTTTACATGAGTGTATCTGCACTGGGGGTGTGCCAGTGTGGGGCAGATGGGGCCCAGAAGAAGGCATCAGATCTCCTGGAATTGAAGTTACAGGTGATTATGAGCCATCAGACATGGGTACTGGGAGTGACACTGTATAAGAGCAGCAAGTGGTCTTAGCTGCTGAGCCATCTCTCCAGCTTTTTGTAATTCTTAAGAAATAGGCGTTATTCCTATTTTACAGACCCAAGGTGTGGCTCAGTGCTAAACTAGCATGTGCAAGGCTCTGGATTTCATTCTCAACAATGGAAAGAAAGAAAAAAAAAAAAAAAAAAAAACACTGAAATAGATGTTAATCCCTTGCTGGATTTTTTTTTTTTTTTTTTTGAGACAGAATCTTACTATGTAGTCCTGGCTGCCTGGCCTGGAACTCTAGTAGGCCAGCCTGCCTCCCATTAAAGGTGTACCACCAGTTTTGGCTTGGTTTTGGTTTGTTTGTTTTTTGAGACAGTTTCTCTGTGTAGTCTTGGCTATCCTGGATTTGTACACCAGGCTGGCCTTGATTAGCAATTTGCCTGCCTCTGCCTCCCTGAATGCTGGGATTAAAGGTGTGCACCTCCATGCCTGGCTTATTTTTATTTTTTGAGACAGGCTTTTTCGGCTGTCCTGGAATGCAGACTAGGTTGGTCTTGAACTCAGAGATCCACCTGCCTCTGCCTCTAGAGAGCTAGGATTCAAAGGCATTTCCCATGCCTGGGTGCATACAATTTTATAGATAAAGAAGAAATTAAGTGGTCTTGCTAGTAGGTGAGGAACCAAAACTCTACCTATGATCATCTTATCCATTGATCTTTCTGCTACACTTCATTTTATGAAGTCCAGACTACATGTAATCTAATAGTCGGATAAAGTAATATTTCTAAGATGTGTTTGAAAACCACCTCCAGGTTTGAATGCATGGGTCCTGGGTTCTAATAACTACATGTAGTAGTACATGCCAGTTGCCTGATATGTTTGGGAGGCTGAGGCAGAAGGATTGCTTGAGCCTAGGAAATTGAAGTCAGCCTAGGCAATAGTATAAGACCCTGTTTCTTCAAAACTACTTTAGGATGTAGTTCACGTGTATAACACTTGTCTGGTGTCCCACCACTAGGAGAAAGATAGACAGCATGTGTCTGCTCACCTTTGTCATTACAGCTGCTAAGTTTTTTTATCTGTGTGTGTTCTAGGATGGGTGTCTCCATTTATATCAGTTATAGGTGTGCAAAGGTTTAACAGATGGGTGAGACTGCATAGTTTTTATCTTTTAAAGGATCTTTATAACAACGCATTCTGCTGACGTCTCCAGGAGACCACTGACAATGATTCAAAACTCCTCTGGGGCCAGGGTGTGGCTCAGTGGTAGAACACTGGCCTAGTATGCAGATGCCTTCGGTTTGATCTCCAGCACCTAACAAGCAGAGGGTAAAACTTTGGCAGATAGATATGAGCTCTGGAATAAGGCTGACGTGACTGAATTCTAGCTAGGCCAGTTATGAGCAATGGGCCTTGACAGGACATTTTATCTGAGTTTCCTCCTCTTTAAAGGTACTATTACCAACAATATTTTAGAGTTGTAAGGATTAATTAAGATGACTCATGTATTGTAGTTTGATAGCAATTTGAAATAGTGAGCACTAAACACATTTTTAGCTTTTGTCAGCTAGGCATGGCACTGAAAGCCTGTGACCCTAACTACTCCTGTGGTTGAGGCAGGAAGATCAGAAGTTCTGGATCAACCTGGGCAATTTAGTGAAACTTTTTAGTGAAACTTTTCCCAAATGTTGGGATTATATACATGTGCCACCACTCCTGGCTGCTTGACATTTTAAAAATGGCTTTGATGTAGCTCATGGCTTACCATATGTGAGACTCAACCATATGCACATTTGTGTACACACACAGAGGAAGCAAGCCATTGTCTACTAAGGAAGTTTGTTTTACCTGTAACACAATTTTAAGAGCTTGGAGGCTGCATGCTTCCTCTTTTTTGACCACCAGGGGGCACCATTGTCCCTATGCATCTTAAATCTTCCCAAGGTCACAATGATGTCAAGTCTGGGCCTTCTGTATTGCCCCTTTTTGTTCTCCCTCACTCAGTTATATTTGGACCTACCGTTTACTTAGCTATTATATTCATGGCGGTCTTCACTTTCCCATCTATGTTCAGAAAGAGACTCTAGTGCTAGGGGTGTGGCTTAGTGTTTGAGTATTAGTGTGACATGTTTGTAGCCACATTTTTAATTTCCAGCAACCAGAGACAGACTGATACAGACTTAGCTTTGGGAGATTCCACTTCATCTTTTGGCTTTCGAATTGACTTTATAACAATGAATATCAGGACTGAACAACTTCAAATAGATAAAGTTTTGATGTTAAAATCCAGAACCCTATGCCAAGGGACTTAAAGCACATATGTTCCCTTTGGCAGCCTTTGTTTCTTAGG